CCCAAAATTACAGGCGTGAGCCACCACGCCCGGCCTCCAGCCCTTCTCTTTCTTTAGTAAAATAGCTATTGAAAAAGTCAGGTTCTAATCCCCGCCTTGTCGCTTAGCAGAGGGACTTGAGGCAAGTTACCCAGTTCCCCAAGACTGATTTCCTCATCTGTTAAATGGTTACTGTGTGGATGAATAAGATAACAGTGATCTAACGTGCTTACAAAGCAATTGGCGTATACATATGCTCAATAAATATTATTATTGTATTATTATCATTATTATTATTACAACCAGCACCTTTATCTTGAAGGAGAGTATGTATTCCTTTTTGTTCTGTAGTACAAAGAATAAAGAAGCCTCCAGGACTACCTAAGCTTGGAGAGCATTCCATCATGTCATACTTTGTATTGTAGAATGTTCAACAACAAAGGTGAAGAAGTGAAGAGGATAGAATTCAAGCATGGTGGAAACTATGTCCCTGCACCCAAAGAAGGTTCTTTTGAACTTTATGGAGACCGAGTCCTGAAACTGGGAACTAACATGTAAGCAAATTCTTCTCTGAGTGAATTCAAGTCCAAGGGAGGTCACTTCATTAAAAAAAGCAGCCTGACTTCTGTTATGAAAATCCTGCCGACAATAGGAGTAATTTCCCCTTAGGTACACTGCATACAGAGGCCTGACATTTCAAAGGGCACCCAAGAACGCCAAACATAAGGCAACTCAGCAGAATGAAAAGATACATGATGTTCCATAGCCATGGAAGAGAACTAGCCAAAATCTGTGTTGCAGTGGAAATCCAGAAAGACTTACCCTTTCTGTAAAGCTGCAAGTCTTTTCAGTGATGCATGTTACTCTTCACAAGAGGAGGCATTGCCACCCAGTCTCCCCGGGTGTTTTTCTTTGGGAAGAAGTGAAATATGAGGGGTTATCACTCACTCACCCATTGCATTCTGTACCCACAGCACCTTTCTGGATGCTATTTAATGTCTCAGAATAAAAGCTACAAACTATGCTTACAAGTTAGAGGGAGGTCCGGGGAAAGGGGCTGGATAATGTTACCATTTTCTGTTGACACACCAGGTACAGCGTGAATCGGCCTGTGGAAACCCATATGTCTGGATCATCAAAGAACTTAGCCTCACGGACCCAGGTGAGCTTCTGCCTTCCTTGCCTACTCTCACAGCTTCTCTCTAGATACAGAAGTCTACATAAAGAGAGGTGGGATCGCTTTAGATTTTGGATCTAGCCAACATTTCCCTTGTTTTCAATCTTCTCCCTTCCACCTTATGAGTACACAGGTTTTAATTGTAGCTTTTCATGGAGACTTCCAGTGATCTCACTAATTAGGTAATTTTAGGCTTGGCTCAGCCACCATAATTAAGAGGAACCACCCACCAGGACATATGCAATAGCAGAGTACCAGTGTCATTAGGTGCATGATTGCTGACGTCAGCACTCGTGTGTATTCTGATCATTAAAACATTTCTTTGTAACGTTTCCCCCTACAGCACCACAGTAGCTAAGTCAGAGTCGGGGGTTTTAGTTTCTCTGAATTCCATCCTTACAAGTTTTCACTGAACTAGCTCCCACCTAGCTGTAGGAGAGATCACAGAATATTAAATTATTCAGCAAACATTTATTAAACTGCTTCTATGGGCTGGGGACCCAGGGACACGAAGCTGACGTAGATGTGGTCCCATCCTGAAGGGGCCTCTGGTACCCTGGGAAAGACAGCGAAACAAACAACTAAAATGAGGTGGAGGAAGGGCTGGCTGGGGATCCTGAACAAAGTGCTGTAACAGAGGAACTCACGTCTGTCCAGTGGACAGGGATCACAGGGATCAAGAAGGCGTTTCAGAGGCAGGGATATTGAAGTGGGGCTGTAGAGTAGGTAAACTATGAAACAGCAGAGAGGGAGAAATGAGCACACAGACCAAGGTGACAGAGGAGCAAGAGTGTTCCCGGGAGGAGGATGGCAGCGTCTCCCATGAGGCTTACGTAATGGATCACAGCATCATGGAGGCTTGCTGGCAGAGACTCACCTGGACAGGGACACTGAGGCCTGACCAGGAAGGGGCATAAACTATTTGGGCTTTGTTCTTTCGAAAGGAAGCAGAGGGGTTTGTTTCAAGCCAGGGAGAAATGAGACGAAAACTGCATTTAGTTAACTAGTGGCGGAGTGAGGGGAGAGGCAGAACAGGGGAGGCCAGGCTAGAAGGAAGAGGGGTGCAGGATGAGGCAGGGTGAGAACTGAGAGAGGAGGGAATGGACTTGCGGGTGTGTTCCCGGCCATCACCACCTGAGGGCAGTGTGGCAGCGCCTCTGGAAGGAGACTGGACTGAGGCGACTTGTAAATACTGAGGAAACCCGATTGACAGAAAAGGAAGCCATACACTTCTTCAAGGAGGAAGGTAGTGAGAGGAGAAATGTGGATCCCTGGGGCTTCCACTTATGCGGACAGTATGAAAATCTCTGGTTTGCAAAGTTGCTACATTCCCTCTGCTTCTGATGTGATTGTTTTTCTTTTGGTTAAGCCTGCTTTCTACACTTTATTTGGACCTAGAAATAATTTAAATAGCAATTGTTTCACCTTATTTTATAATACCTACCTGTGTCTCTGAGGTTTTAGCAGGAAATGTGATTGCCTTCCTGTGGCTAAAAATCATGCAATTGTTTCTGCAGGAAAGCATTGCTCCAAACCCTCTTGCTAAAGAAGAGCTGAATTTCTTGGCCAGGCTGATGGGAGGGATGGAGATTAAGAAACCCAGTGGCCCTGAGCCTGGATTCCGGTTGAATCTCTTTACCACCGATGAAGAAGAGGAGTATGTTTTAAACCTGTTTCGTTAAAGACATATAAATATCCCAAATGTAACAAGAACCCAAAATGACCATTACAAACCGGTGGCACTTATAAATATTTGTGTAAATATCACAAACAAAATACCAACAAAGTTAATAATCTAGTTAAATAGCCCATCCATACCAGGATGAAATGGCCTGAACCTTCCGGAGTCATTCAAAAAAAGAGATGCAGCCGGGCACCGTGGCTCACACCTGTAATCCCAGCACTTTGGGAGGCCAAGGCAGGCAGATCACGAGGTCAGGAGGTCGAGACCATCCTGGCTAACATGGTGAAACCCCGTCTCTACTAAAAAAAAATAAATAAATACAAAAAATTAGCTGGGTATGGTGGCACGTGCCTGTAATCCCAGCTACTCGGGAGGCTGAGGCAGGTGAGCCAAGACTGCGCCATTGCACTCCAGTCTGGGAGACACAGCAAGACTCCATGTCAAAAAAAAAAAAAAAACAACCCAGAGATGGTGTGATGGTGCGCACCTGTAGTCCCAGCCACCCAGGAGGTTGAGGCGGAAGGATCACTTGAGCCCAGGAGTTTAAGGTTAAGCAAGCTGTGATCGTGCCACTGCATTCAGTCTAGGAGACAGAGCAACACCCTGTCTCTAAAAAATAATAATCAAGAAAACAAAAAAGAGTTATAATGTTTTACTTATCAGAGCACAGCTGAATAAGCAGTGTTAGAAGCCAGGATGACCAGATTAAGGCAGTGTGTTAAGAAACCAGAGTGAAGTTGGAGCTTGATTTCCCTGTTTGACAGTATCACCCAAAACCAATAACAATAGTAAATCACCCACGGTGATTTATAGTGCTTTACAGTTTACAGAGCACTTTTTCAAGCATTATCTCATGTGATCCTCCTCAAAACCAAGTATTTGGCGTGAGTGTCACCTTCTATTTCCCATTCATTGAACTACTAATAACTTCTTTTGTTTACTTCTGTGTGACCAGTACTATGTAAAGTCCTGGGGATGCAAAGATGGAGTGTAAGACCTAGAGCCTGTCCTCAGGAAGCTCTCAGCTTAGTGGGAGAGCAAACATGTACGTACATAAGTTATTTCAGTGCCGTGTCATGAATGCTCTAATTGAGGACAGTGACTGACTCTGCACTGGCAGATTGAAGGAGTTGGCATTTGATCTAGGTCTTGGAGTTTGCCAAGCAGAGGAAGGGAGGAAACATCCTTGGCAGGGTTTATAATGAGCAAAGTCACAGAGATATAAAAGAACTTGACTTTCTAGATCATAGGGTACATTGGTGGGAGATGGGGTAGAAAGTTCAAGAGAAATGGCAGAAGATGAGGCAGAAAATATAGGCTGCCAACTTATCAAGAGCCAGTTTGCCATGCTGGCAGGGAGAGAACCCTAACCTTGTACCCCTTTTCTTTACTATCTCATCCAGACAAGCAGCGCTAACCAGGCCAGAAGAGTTATCCTATGAAGTTATCAACATACAAGCCACTCAGGTACGTACAGGGGATTACACAGGGTCCAATCTTATTCCCTTCCTCATCTTTTTTTTTTTTTTTTGAGACAGGTGTCACCCAGGTGAAGTGCAGTGGCTCAATCTCAGCTCACTGCAACCTCCACCTCCCAGGTTTAAATAATTCTCACACTTCAACCTGCCAAGTAGTTGGGATTACAGGTGCCGCCACTATGCCCAGCTAAATTTTTTTTTTTTTTTTTTTGAGACAGAGTCTCGCTCTGTCGCCCAGGCTGGAGTGCAGTGGCACGATCTCGGCTCACTGCAAGCTCCACCCCCCGGGTTCACGCCATTCTCCTGCCTCAGCCTCCCGAGTAGCTGGGACTACAGGCGCCGCCACCACGCCCGGCTAGTTTTTTTTATTTTTAGTAGAGACGGGGTTTCACCGTGTTAGCCAGGATGGTCTCAATCTCCTGACCTCGTGATCCGCCCGTCTCGGCCTCCCAAAGTGCTGGGATTACAGGCGTGAGCCACCGCGCCCGGCCTTTTTTTTTTTTTTTAGTAGAGCTGGGGTTTCACCATGTTGGCCAGGCTGGTCTTGAACTCCTGACCTCAAGTGATCCACCCACCTCGGCCTCCCAAAGTGCTGGGATTACAGAGGTGAGCCACCGCACCCGGCCTCCCTTCCTCCCTTCCTCATCTTACGTAATGTTGAACTTCAGAGACCCTCTTTTTCAAGCAAGACTCAGGCTACAATATAGCTGTTAAGTGCTGTGTTGTCATTCCCCCTGCTCAAATTAAAGTTGTTTCTTCACTATACCCATCTGCCATTCTGGAGCAGCCAGGGATGCTTGGTTACATACATGTTGATTAAGAAAAAAAAAAAAAAAAAAAAAGACCCCCTTCTTCTGTCTGATCAGCCTGTAACTACAGTCCCTTTTCTGACAAACAGGTGCACAACTGAAACATATCAGTGGTGGGACAACAAACTAAGAGCCTACTGCACAAAGAGGCGGCCTCTGCCAGCACAGCCTCTTCATGCCCTTTTACCTCTCATTTCCCTCATAGGACCAGCAACGGAGCGAGGAGCTGGCTCGAATCATGGGGGAGTTTGAGATCATGGAGCAGCCAAGGCTGAGCACCAGCAAGGGGGACGATTTGCTCGCCATGATGGATGAGTTATAGCTGTTCTGACCAGGCGTCTTCTGCCCCCAGGGAGAGGCTGCTGGATGGTGATCCCTGGGGAATGCCCCATGGCCCAAAATGATGCTGCTAGTTTTCTACTGAGTGAAGCCATTACGTCTAGTTCTTGTTTATGTTGTAAGGAACTGTGTGAGCCTCCCTCGGGGAGCACTCACTCTTGAAGGCACACACATACACATATTTTCAGTGAAATACATTCTGACTTTTAAACGTGACCTTTCCCATTTTATTCTTAATTCTGTGGCAACCACCGAAAGCCTCCTGAGCCATAGGTTTGGGCCCCAAAGTGGGTAAGGGGTCACCCCTGCTGTCATTTTCAGGATTACTATTTTAGCTTTCCTGTGGGGATCTACAAAGGCATGTAAACATTAACAAAATACTCAGTTTTCTGGGATACATTCTGCCTGTAGGCAAGTTTGAAATCAAAGACTGTTCCAGGCAGTTGCCATAAACAGTGAGGGCTCCGTGTAGAAGACCCTTTTCACCCTGGCGCACTAGGAACTGTAACCTCAGAGGCAGGGTAAGCAAGGCCACGGCGGGGAACACTCAGCTGGCCCCAGGCAGGACATGCCAGCGTCTGTACTTCCCCGCACGTCCATCTATCCATGCGGTGTCAGTTTATCCCATACTGAGATGTATACCAAGAGAATATTTTCTTCTTTTCAGCATGACATGTACTCCTTACCCCCAGGGTCTTCCTCTACCCCTGAGTGTGCTTGTCTTCTAAAGATGCCCAGCAGGATGTGCTGTGACATCTGTCTCCTCTGGGTCACCGTGAGTCACCAAGCAGTACCCTAGGTTGGGTGCATGGGAGGCACATGTGGTACGCGCCTTTCCCTTCTGCTTTCCCGCTGAGCCGCTTCCCTGGGCAGGAGTGGACTTTGCAGGATGCAGCAGGAGGCCAGGTCTCACTGGAATCCATGTAAAATGTCTCCAGCCAGGGCTGCCGTTATTGCTTCAGAAAGGCGTGGCAGCCCTCTGCCATAGGCTTCCTCCCGGGCCTGAGTAACTGGCATGTTCAGACCCATTAAATCCTATGGAAGGAATATCCAGAATGCCAAAAGGCTGGAGAGAAACTAAGTTGAGCTGGTCATTGCCTTAGATTGGGCCAACTACAGGAACCTCTCCATCCCCACACCTGGGACAGATCAAGGTGAACATCATTCTAGAATGTAATGGAATCACCATTTTCAAGCAATTCTCCTGGTGATTAATTCCATGTAATGGAAGCTGCCCTTTGGCTTTTCCAAAGGCAAAGGTTTTGGATACAGAATGTAAATCAGTGAAGGCCGGGCATGGTGGCTCATGCCTGTAATCCTAGCACTTTGGGAGGCTGAGGTGGGCAGATCACTTGAGGTCAGGAGTTCGAGAACAGCCTGACCAACATGGAGAAACCCCGTTTCTATTAAAAATATAAAATTAGCTAGGCCTAGTAGTGCATGCCTGCAATCCCAGCTACTCAGGAGGCTGAGGCAGGAGAATCGCTTGAACCTGGGAGGCAGAGGTTGCAGTGAGCCAAGATCGTGCCATTGCACTCCAGCCTGGGCAACAAGAGCGAAACTCCATCTCAATAAAAAAATCACCAATTAAATGTTAATTGCTCCCTACTCATCAAAGTTACACTTCCTTACCTATAAAGACACCCTCCCCCTCCACATACTCATGAAAAGTCTGTTGGGGAGGAGAAGCATATTGTGCTATAAAACACCTGTTGCATCAGATGTACAAAGTGCCTTTGGTTTTAGTCTCTTTTAAGCAATCTGGCCACCATTCAGGGGAGCCTGACTGGGTGACAGATGAATGGGAAAGTTCTGACCTGTTTTGAGTCCGGCTCCCACCTTGCTGTCACATATCAGAATGTCACCCCTCTGAGTGTGTCCCAGGGCCTTGGAGGTGGGCCGTGAGATGCCGAGAAGCAGCCGCAGCCTCCTCCCTCCACCTATCCCAGAGCGATGCTGGCGATTTCAAACGTATCTGTCCTATCAGTAAATAAACAAGATACAGATCTCTGGTATGACAACTCCACGATGAGGCAATCTGTGAGTTTCATGTCTCTAGACTTGCACAGATATTAAGAAAAGCAAGTTTATTTGCATGGTGGTTCAGGACTACGAGAGAAAGCATGGGAGTCGGTAGGAGGCAAAGTAGATAAAAAGTAGGAGGTCGAGGCTGCAGCGAGCCATGATTGTGCCATTGTACCCTAGCCTGAGTGACAGAGTGAGACCCCATCTCAACAAAAATAAAAAAATAAAAATTCTAAAAAGATTTTATTTTCTGCATAAAATATGGATAAAGTACTAAAAACGCATGTATTCATTTAAAACCATGGCAAAGGGGCATAAGCATGTAATTCACCAAGACCCAGTGAACTTAAGGGGAAGGCATATGGTCAGAATCACGACACTGCACTCTGGCCCCATCCCTGCCCCCAATTCACCATGTCATCTTGGACCACTCACTAACCCTCACCAAGGGTCTCTCATCTATTAAAAAAGAAAAAGAACTCAAACTCAGCTTGCCCAGATAAGTTCCCGAGTTTATAGCTTCCTGGGCCCTGCCCCAGGCGGGACCTGAGAATGGGAGTCTTACCCAGGCTGCCCTCTACCCGCTGCTTTGGGGTATATCTGCTCTCTTTCAGCTCTTCTGTGACTGTAGCCTCTTCTCAACTAAGTTTCAAACCATCCCACTCTTGTTCTTAGGGTGTTAGAATGCCCTGTTGATTAAGTAAAGCAATGCTGTAGAAAAGCCAAAAACCAAAGGACGTTAATGGCTCCCAGAAGAAAGAAGTAATAAAAATTCAGGCCGGGCGCGGTGGCTCAAGCCTGTAATCCCAGCACTTTGGGAGGCCGAGGCGGGCGGATCACAAGGTCAGGAGATCGAGACCACAGTGAAACCCCGTCTCTACTAAAAATACAAAAAATTAGCCGGGCGCGGTGGCGGGCGCCTGTAGTCCCAGCCACTCAGGAGGCTGAGGCAGGAGAATGGCGGGAACCCGGGAGGCGGAGCTTGCAGTGAGCCGAGATGGCGCCACTGCACTCCAGCCTGGGCAACAGCGTGAGACTCCGTCTCAAAAAAAAAAAAAAAAAAGAAGTTATAAAAATTCAGAGCGAAGGAGGAAGAAAAAAGGAGGAAAATGTATTTATCTCTGAATTCTAAGAAGAAAGTCATCGCATTGTTCCTGAAACACCAGGCGTTTGGTCTAGGTCCTGCTGCTTACCGCGCAGAAAGTCAATCCCTGAGATAAGTATTGCCAAGGAAGAAGGCTTTCATCAGGTGCTGCAGAGAAGATGGGAGCTCAGTCTCAAATCCATCTCCCTGATTGACTAAAACTAGGGGTTTACATAGCAGGGAAGAAATGTTACAATGTGTAAGAAAATAAGAACTAGGGAGGGGCAAGGGGGCATCTGGTGCCCCTATCTGATGAGTTTCAGTTCTCTGATCCCATTTTTTAGAGGCCTGAAGGTCCTTTCCTGAGAAAAGAACTTAGATAAAACAAATACAAATTTCAAGCTTTAACAGCAGAAGGATCAATGTCTATGTTTATCCAAAAGAACAGTCTATGGGCCCATTTCACCATAGTCCCCATAAGTATCTAACAATTTTTATTTTATTTATTTTTGAAATGGGGTCTCATTCTGTCACCCAGGCTGGAGTATAGTGGCACAATCACAGCTCACTGCAGCCTCGACCTCCTCAAGCGATCCTCCCACTTCAGCCTCCCGAATAGCTGGGACTACAGGCATGTGCCATCACACCCGGTCTCACTATGTTGCCCAGGCTGATCTCAAACTCTTGATCTCAAGCGATTCTCCTGCTCAGCCTCCCAAAGTGCTGGGATTACAGGCGTGAGCCACCACGCCCAGTCTTCTAACTTTTTTTTTTTTTTTTTTAGACAGAGTCTTGCTTTGTCGCCCAGGATGGAGTGCAGTGGCAAAATCTCAGCTCACTGCAACCTCCACCTCCCAGGTTTAAGCAATTCTCCTGCTTTAGCCTCCCAAGTAACTGACATTACAGGCATGCACCACCATGCCTGGCTAATTTTTGTATTTTCTTAGTAAATATGGGGTTTTGTCATATTGGTCAGGCTGGTCTCGAACTCCTGACCTCAGGTGGTCCACCCACCTCGGCCTCCCAAAGTGCTAGGATTACAGATGTGAGCAACTGCACCCAGCCCTTCTAAGAATTTTTAAAGGTAAAACTCACTTCTTCCCTCAGCTATCCCAATAGGAGAGAATAGACTTCAGCATGATAGCCAGATGCCCAGATCTAAACTGGATCAGATTCCCTCATCCACATCCATCTAGTCTATAACCGCCTGGTTTGTCACTCTGGATTACATTCAGTATAGAACCACACTGTCCATTTTGGAACCATCTCAAGCCACAGGAAACCATAGAAAGACAAATGCAAATTTAAGAAAATATATATTTAGCATAATACCTAATCTTAAAGACCCAAATTAAAATCAGAAAAGTAATACCACCTTTACCTACCTCTTATTCTCTCCAAATTGTGCCCTGGATAACTCCTTTTCAGCTGCTAAATTCCTGGACAGCTGACAGAAGAGGGAATTACAGGACAGGCTTGGGATAAGGAAACCTCCACATTGAATCTTCCCTGCATAGCTTCCTGATTTGGTGTGAAGTAAATTCTCAGATCATA